GACCTAGGACAGTCACTCACAATAGTTTTGGGACATATGCAGTTTAACAAAGATCAAGAAGAACAAAAAGTCCACCATTAAATTTCATTGTACCAGATCCCTCACAGATTTAAAATTGCTGTGGGATGACTGTTCATACACAGTGATAGGTATTCTTTTCTGATTAAGTGTTGCCTTCCCAGGAACCTCTAATGATATCCAACAGGTTACTAACCTTTCTCCCAGATAGAAGGTCAAACAGGGCAAATCCTGCAATTTATCCTGAGATAACGTCACCGCAGGCAAAAAGAAGGTACCACTATTAGTCAGTCATCAGGCAGCTCAGTTAATACACGCAATATAAATCTTTAGAGTCCTGTCAAGCCTCTCCATTGCTCATTTGTTTCTAAGAGGCTATAAGCAGCCTATAGCTGCTTTACTCCAAATAATTCCCATAGCTTTTTAAATAACAGTCATACACTCGCTTCTTGTTTATGAGAATTGCTTCTCTCAGGAAGACTTACTGGATGAAAATAGTAAACAAGGCTTGAGCTACTGGTTAAGGTACTAAGCCTAACAAAGCAATTGCTTCTGGGTACCAGATAAAGACAAGTACTACAGACATACTATTTTCTTCTACTTATGTCTATAGTGAAAAAACGATACACAGTGTCCATCGCAGCTCTAGCTTTTGATTCCTGGCTTTTTATTTCAGCGAGGGCGGAAAGATTAGCTTTACAAGACCAACCTGTCTTTTATCAGTTAGCACACACCATATCAGTACTGTATCAGCAGAAATTCCTTGTTTTCCTGCTCTAGGAAGCAATTTTTCTAGAAGTTTTCATAAGACACCTTCAAGTCCAGAAGTCTCTAAAAGGGCAGTTGTGCACTCACCACCTGGAACCGCTCACTGCCTAGAAATCTCCTTGAAACACACTGAAGGTTTCGTTTTCTTCCCTGAACATACAAACAGTATGTTTGTAGTCTCTATAGGATTCCCTTCTCTATGTGGAATTTTTCTGGAAAACACAGGATGGCCATTTGGGACAAGGCTTCGGAGTTGACCACTGATGGGCGTTTTTCTTTTGAGACCAAAAAAAAAAAAAAACACGCCCAAAAAACCACTCAGTTTAAAGTTTAAAAGACTATGTCATTCAGTAAGACACATACCTTCAAACCTCCTCTGCTCTATTTCCTTGCTTCCAGCACAGGCAACACTGTGATTAACATCTCTAAGAGACATAGATAAAGAATTTAACTTACACCAAGACTAAATTTTAAAGCTCCTTCACTTTCTCCTTCTCTGTCCAGCTAACTGGCTGCAGATTTTTGTGATACTGACCTTTTAGAGAAACTATCTCAGTCTGCACGTTAGCTTTTATAATTGATCTCTTTCTTGAAGTTGATTGAGTTCTGAACAGGCTTACTCTTTCCTCAGATGAAAAAAGGAAGAGAAAAAGGAAAAAAACCAAGGCAAAAAAAAACCACTTATCCACCTCTTCCTCCAAGCTCCTTCTCCAAACTGATTTAGGAGGTAGGCTTGTTACTTCTACAAAGCAAGTAAATATTGTTTCACTCTCTGGAGACAAAGGCTGTTCTGTCAGCTTAGATATATGGTTTTAGCTATATTTCACTGCCTAATCAACAGATCTTTGATCTGGCAAGGAGCTAAACACACTTTTTCCTCTGTCTTTTTGCTTCAGTACATTAATTAACATTTCATTCAAATACCTGAACAGAATAAAAATACGTTGCTTACTACTGGCTCTTAATGTAGATCAAACCAAATGGGAAACACTTCAAGATGGTACAGGATTGGCCAATGATTGACCCTGAGAATCTGCCATCTAAGGATACCACAAAAGGAGGCATAAATATAAGCTCACCATAACTTTTATTTTTCTAGAATCGAATTTTTCTGCTTCTTATATTACAGTTGTGAGATATAGAGAACCACGGACCCAGGTGATCTGGGCTCTGACTTTTGCAAAGACATCAAGCTGGCAGGCAGTTATAAGTACCTGCAGAGCACACCACAGATTCACTTGAGACGCAGTGAGACATCAGCTGTTTAGTTCTTCTGTGTCTCAGTCCCCTTATTTGTGATAACAGAGTGATAATACATTATTCACCTCTGAGCAGTACTGGAGAATGGACGTCTAGGAAATGCTTGACAGCTGTCTTGCAAGTAACGCAAAGTATTAAAAGACAGTGAACCCAAAATAATGCATTCCAGACCTTCTGAGACATTCCTTACCCCCACCACATCTGCCACACACCTAACAGCCACTCTGCCTTTGGCATTGCTTTTAGGAACACTCCCCTCATAATGGTGGACTCTGGCTTCTACTTTTGGGTGGCTCCACTACATTGTATTCTTGTTTCAGTGTTACCAGTTGTCATTACTGACCCCTCAGCACATCCAAAAGAGTCTGAGATCCTGGTGAAGGCTTAGCCCATTAGGCACAGCTGTTTGGAATAACTCAGCACACATTTTTCAAGCAAAAAAAGAGGAGCATGCGCTTGTTGTCCAGGATACTGTAGCTAAGGATACATGCTGGAACTGTGGTACAAAGCCCATGTGTTGAACAACAGCAGAGCCTCTTCATCCTGTCCAAATGCCAAGACCAAGATCCTTCAACTAGTACCATACAATATTGCAGGTCTCTGATCCCTTTGCAGCATCCCCACAGGCCAGCACTCATCAAAAGCCGGTTGCTAGTTTTCGACTCTGTCACCATTTTCACACTGAACGAGCTGAAACAGGCTCTTCTTTGCACTGACCCACCCCCTATATGACAATGCAATCACACACAGTCTTTGCCTTTCCTTTTTGTTCCAAGGAAGGAAAAAAAAAAAAAAAGTCTGTTAACCCTGGGTAAGGAACACCACAAAAGTGAGTGGACAGAAACAGTCATACCTATGCCCACTTTTTGGAAAAATTTCCTTTGCCGTCTTTGAATTATTATTCAAGGTTTAAACTACTGAGGAAAAGAAAGATCAAGAGAAAGAAAATATTAACATCTTACTTGTGTGATCGTCTCTGACGGATAGGTACCAATATATTACAGATATATCAACAGGCCTGACAAAGCAGCAAAAGAACTGACTATACTAATTTTCGCTGATCAAGCAAAACAGTCCCAGAACACCCATTTATTTACTATACACTGTTGTTGCCTCTCAGGAACTGACAATAAAATCATCGAGAAGCAGACAGTACAAATCATAAAAACAAAAAATGAGATAAACCAAAAAGCCTAGCATGGTAGACCCTTTTCCGTATAGTATTGGTTACCTTTATGTATATAGTTGCTCAGCAATAAACACTACTCAAACATCAATAAGCTCACTATACCATTTGATTTATGTATTAATATGTTGAACACTTGTTTTTCTGAAACCCTGAGAAGTTCATTGCAACCTCACAAACTTGTTTGAGTAGCATTTTACTGCTGAGAAAAGACTCATGCAATGGGTAAATAGTGTTGTTCCCAAGTGTTCGTTTACACCGCACATTACAAGCCTTCATACTCCATGTAGCTGCCTCTGACCTGAGGAGAGCTGCCGGCAGGGTTAGATGTTTTTCTCCATTCCTTGGAAAAGCACAAGACCAAGAGGGAGGATTACAGAGCAGACCTGCCAAGGCAAAGAACAACCATCTACATAAGCAGATTCTGGTGCTTAGTT